GCACCATCAGGAACACTGAGGTAGGATGATTTAAGCAGACGGGTCATGGCCTACGGCTACAAACTGGGTGCTTCTAACAGCAACATTGCAGTTTACTTAGAATAAACATGCACGAGGCTAAATGAACATGGAATCAGTGAAGGGCAAATTTTGACAGAGAGCAGGTTTTGAAAAGGAACATATCCATTAGTAATGCCAGCTCAGGTAGAGATCAATTTCATATTACAATGACCTAGGCAGGTTGACATTAATTATCCAGTTTATTTTTGTAGCCATTATGCTGCAGTAACCCACTACTTGCTGATCCAGTAGCCTTTTGTTGTCTCTCAGAAAATACATAAACCACCAAATGCATCATGTCACTCTGAGCTTTGCCATTATGTGCAGTGATGTTCCATAAGGCTCATCAGATGCTGCAATTGTTGACTTCTTTGAAAGGATATACATATTTTCCAGGCTGGGTCACCAGATTGCTAATGTTATGCCCTCCAAAAGTGGTGATGTACTACCCAGAACTTGCTGCAGCCCCTGTGTCTTGCAACCTATCATATACATGTATATTTTTATTATTACATACGTATATGTGTATCATATATATGTATATTTTTGGCTACCAGGCATAAAGAAGCCTGCAGCAGTGTGACCACTAAATATGCTCCTCACAATAAGGGAGAAAAAGGAAATTAAATCGGACACAATTTATTGAATTCTCACTTCACTTATACCCACTATTGATATGAAAAAAAATCAGTAATTCAACATTACTGCAAAATTCACTTAAGAGCACTCCGTGGACAGAAAATGCCAACACGTGAAGATGACTATTTAGCAAGGAGCTGAAATAAATGTGGTGGCAAGAGAGGTCAAAGACAAGCCAGAGCTGTCATGTCTCATTCTCAAATGACATAATGCAGTCATGAAATGAGTTCAACTGCTTTTGTATATAAGCTTTCTGTGGCTTCCATGCTAAAAAATGGAAAGATAGTACCCTTTGCTAATGGAGCTATTGCACCAGGAAGCACGGCAGGTGTCCCTATCAATCTGTCAGCAGCTTTCAGTCCTCAATTCAGTTTACTAACAGCTAAACTATTCAAGGTCTGCATTATAACCTTTTAAAGACAACATGAGAGAAGGTGATTTTTGATAAATAGTAGAACCTTGGTACTACAAATGTGGCCCTTGGCTGGCCAAGGAGAGCAGGTCTCTGGATGCAACCTAATGTTTTGTCAGCTGCTGCTGTTCAGATAACCATGTCATCATCACTGTGTACTCTGACCCATGCTAGAGTCTCCTCTCACTCAGATTTCACTTTCATATGCAGTAGAACAGCAAAGTGTTTCGAGCAGAGCAGAATGCTGCAAGCTCGTTTCTGAGGGTGACCTTGAGCACATCTGGCACACAGGGGCGGTGGGAGACGGGCAAGTCCTTCATCTCCCACACCTCTCCTGTGTCCAACCCTGGTATCGTCATTTGAAACAACGGACAGGAACGAAGTGCCTGCCCATCTTTGTGTGTGAATGCACACTCAGAATTGCACTTTCACGTGCATGCAATGAAAATCAAGAAACCAAAGACCGATTGGAAAATTTCACCCTCCCAAACTTTGGTTGTGTTTAAGTCTTGTGATTTTTTAAACTCTTCGGGATGGGAAACATAAATTAAAAATCAGTCTGTGACCCATTACTCTTTTATAATTCTCTCTTTGGCAAGTTGAAAGTAATAGCTTGCCAGGCTTGTATTTAAACTTTCATGGAATGATGCGAGGGAGTGAAATGCGACGGCCCAGACAAGAGAAAAGACAGGAAAGCTAGATGGTGTTGGGAAGGCCTGTCCAGAGAGGCAGATCAACAGTACATTAACAAACGTATATGTTTTGAACAGATCTTAGACCAAAATAACATTTATTTTTGATGAAGCAACTGCTTATAATAGTGACCATAATATTTTTAGATTCAGGAGGCACACAGGAATAACAGGGCTAAAAGCATCACTGTGGCCATGCTGACCTTCAGAAAGGAGAGCTGTGTAACAATTAGGAATCTGTTTTAAAGGAAGTGAAGAAGGATGGATAAGGGATTTAAGTCCTTACAGGCAGCGTAGAGACCCCTGAAAGACACAACACTGGGAGCACAGCACCAGTGCATACCACTTGCTGGAAATCCCTTGGGAACAAGTAGAAGGAAAACAGCATGGATAAACAGTAATGCAAGGGGAGTTATGTAAATTAAGAAGTTAGCATTCAAAATTATAAAGATGCATCCCAGTGAGGAAAAAAGTTATAAATTGTGAGAGAATAAACATAAACCTATAATTTCACTAGCACTTGGTTTGCAAATGTTGTGGCAAAATTTCAAGGTGTTCATTTTCCCTGTAATTAATTTGACTTGTCTATGACACCAAAAGAAAAACTGATGGCTTGACTCACTTGTTCTCCTGCCATTCACATCATGCAGATCAGGATGAAAATGAATATAAAGTGCTGCAGAACAGAACCATTTTGTACTTGTTTTAGGCACTGTAAATAATATAGATAAATGGAGTGCTGCGTCCAGCCGTGGAACCCTCAACATCAAAAGGATATACACCAGTTGGAGCAAGTCCAGAGGAGGCCACGAAGATGCGCAGAGGGCTGGAGCCCCTCTGCTATGGGGACAGGCTGAGAGAGTTGGGCTTGTTCAGCCTGGAGAAGAGAAGGCTCCAGGGAGACCTCATTGCAGCCTTCAAGTACCTGAAGGGGCTACAAGGAAGCTGGGGGTGACTTTTTACAAGGGTCTGTAGTGACAGGACAAGGGGGAACGGGGTTAAATTGAAAGTGGGGAGGGTTAGATTGGATATCAGGAAGAAGTTCTTCCCGGAGAGGGTGGTGAGGCACTGGAACCGGTTGCCCAGAGAAGCTGTGGATGCCCCATCCCTGGAAGTGTTCAAGGCCAGGCTGGATGAGGCTTTGAGGAACCTGGTCTAGTGGAAGGGGTCCCTGCCCATGGCAGGGGGGGTGGAACTAGATGGTCTTTAAGGTCCCTTCCAAACCCAACCATTCTATGATTCTGTGATCCTATGATATTAGGAAGTGTGGGACAAAACCAGATCTAAACATTTCTAAACCATCTTTTCTGAACTTCAGAAGTGCAACCACATGAAACTTTCCCCGTTCAGACATGAGAATGCCATTAATTCATAGGAAATCAAGCTGCCTGATTTTATAACCATACCTGGAGTCCCTTGGCATGTTTATCTGGGCATCATTAGTGTCAAATTTACTCCCTGATATAGCAGGGCGAAGTCTGCCGCATTTACAAATGCTGATCTTCCAAATTCACACACTTCCCCCTTATATGCAACTAGATTCTGCTTAGTTACATCCACAATTTGCTCCAGGGTCATGCCTCCAACTTTGTCTCTCTGTGCTTGTTTTCATAGCCTTGAAACAAAGAAATGGATAAATGCAGCAAGGAATTTTCCATAAATGAGTTGTGTTTTTTTAAGGAATTGGCTAAGTACACATTACCTTTTGTTTATTTCTCATGACCCTTATTCTGAACTAGTTCCACTGGAGTTTAGTAAAATCAATTCCAGAATGGTTTGCACAAGAGTTCTTAAAAATCAAATATGCCAGCAATGGGAAATATTTTTACCAAAGGCTCTTTCAATTCAGGAACAGAATCACTAGCTTGAGGACAAACCAATAATCTAATTTACCTCTGACCTGAAAGGGATTAGGAAGACAGTTCATTTTACATATTCTTGAGCAGTTTAGCCATGCAAAGCTTCTGTGTAAGTGCTTGCAGTATCAAGACCCTTTCTCGCAGAAACATTGGTCCTCTGTCTAGAGGGAGAATATTTTCTAGGCATTTCATCAAACAGTTCAAAATAATGAATAAATAGGAGGAAAATCAAGATCATAAAAATATTCATCAAGAAGGAAGACACCCTAAAACATAGATGAAATGATCTGCTGCCATTTATTTCCCTTTTTTTCATCTGTTTCTTTTCCCTAGCCCTTTCCACAGCTACATTCATTTTCTCTACAACTGCCTACTGGATTTTGCTCTTGTTATGACTGCACACACATCTCCATTTCCTCTTGATGGCTTGATACTTCTAATATTATATCTTGAAACAGCATCTTGTACATTCTGTTCTTCATTGCTATTATAAAAATGTTAGGTTCCTGTAAAACTAAAAGCAGCAAATAGATTTTTTGGGGGGGCAGATAAAATTGTGGAGATTAGTATTTTGCTTGCTCAAATACAGTTCTGTCTTTCAGGAGATGTTTTTAGGAGTTGCCTTTGCTTTGTGTGATGCTTTTTTGCAGTGACAGCAGGCGGTGGTTTAGTGGCAATTTTAAAATATAACATTACTGTACAATACAAACAGTACAATAGTGTTTTAGACAGCAACACCTCTTAAAAACAAAACAAAACAAGACAACATTCCTAGTTTCCTCCCTCTGTTGTAGCAACGTGTTCTTGGACAATGCTTCAGTATCACAAAACAGGGCCACTCACTCTTCTGCTAAAAACAAACCAAACCCACACACATGAAATCTAGATATTAATTAGGAAACATGTAAGATGGCAAGCTGGGTTTTTTGGAACAAATAAATTTGTATTTTCACTTGATTTATCAGGTCTATTAAATATCTACATTATTGCTTTCTAGTTACTCTCTTTTATATATGTTATATATTAAACTCTCAGAAAAGATTTTTTGTTAAATTATCATTTATACTATATTTTTTTTTCATTTTTACTACCTTCTCAATAGAAATGGGATTTTTTTAAGCTTTAAGACTTTCAAAACACCCTTATTGCATTCATCTACCTGTTAGCTTGATTTTTTTATTTCATTATCAGCCATTAGGCAACTAAAAGGTAAGTCATATAATCTAATTTTGTTAATGGAACATAATGCAACTTTAGGCAATCTATAAATAAGTAAATAACCCCTTGCCCCTCCAACAACCACAAACAGACTGTAATAAGGCTACCAGAAAATAGATCTCAGAAAACCGTCAGAAGTGCAAAAAGTCCGTAGAGTAAAGCACAAGGGTACGCAATGAGGAGCTGCTGTCCTTCCATAGCCAATGCAGAGGTGAAAATTTTGGAGGCTGACAAACTGCACCATCCAATAATAAACAGAGCTAACGAAATTCCCAGGATCCCCCTAGAAGAAAAACAAAAGAAGCAAGACAGAGTCTGCTTGTTAGTAAATGTAGCATCAAATCTTATCAAATGGCAGTTCATGTCTAGCAAATTGTTATTGATAAGGTAACAGTCACTGGAAGAACCAAGGACTGACTGACATAATGAGAGTCAAGCCTGAGAAACAAATCGAAATAGTAACAGGGGGAAAAAAAAGCTAATTTCTTCATCATGGATAAAAGCAGCAGCTTCATCAGTAGAACTGCTAAAAGGACAAGTGCATTTCCAAATAGATTTTCTGGGGCTCCAGCGGATGCAGCAGCTGAAGTTTAATATTAAAGTTAGAGAAGATTGCAGCCCAAATCATCTTGTAGAAGTTGTTAGGATCCAAAATGACACTACAGACCTACTCTCCCATCAGGCAGCCTGATGACCTGGAGGGGTTGCATTTTTGTAACACACAGCGCAGGTTTTAAGTGTGCCTCAGCCTCTGAGCAGAGGCAGTGAGCCTCTTGGAGAATCACACCTCAGCAGAGAGGTATGTATTGGCTGCCTCCCTGGAGAAAGCCTACCTGCTCTTTCAAAAAAGAGTGCATACTGAGTAGGAAGTAAGGGATGGGAAAAAAAACGAGAAAAAATATTTTGCTCATCCTGGCATTCTTCTCTGCATGTTGAAAGGACAGTGGCTTTCCACGCTGCCCATCCATGACAGCAGAACCCTTCTGCCGTTACGTTCTGCCACCTCCCAGGCACAGGGTGGAGAACTGGTGGTTATGGGGCTATGGTGAAAAGCCCACCAAAATATTCCTGCCGATTGCAGAGAGCTCACTATTAAACCCTGTAGGAACAAAACCTTGCCAATACATGATGTTTCACACATGCTTTATTTGCACTCGGTATTTGCAGCCCGCTCCTGTAAGATGCTCGAGATCACGTGCACGATACGCTGCTGAAGCACCTAACGAGGTCGGCTGCATTACACGCTGTCGCTGTGTCAGTCTCAAGGACTATGAGAATGAATGAGCCTCTGATTCTCGCTAAAGGACTGCCTGGTGCCTCACCCTTCCAAAGTATCAGCAAAACAGAACCAGAAGTGAGAAACAGACTATGCATACTTACTTAGGTCCATTTATCAGAAATAATCATCACTAATATTATTATTATTATTGCAATTAAACCAGGTTGAGTAAAGCTCTCCTCATTTAATTGACTTACTTTACTTAATGCAATCATATCAGATAAAATAGTTAATTTCTTGGCGATTCTCCGGGCCAGTAAGGTACTTGGTGTTGTCAGTTCTTAGGACTTCAGGGGAGGAAGGAGAAAATTGATTTTAGGGTGACTCAGCACCTCATTGTAAATTCAACCCATTAAAAATAAACCACTAAAGACCACGTGATTTAACATCCTCAGTTTAAATGTTCCTTTAAACCTATACAGTGGCATCCAGGGAAATTACACTGGGCTCTGTGAACCAAGTTCTTGGCCTCTGCTCCAAGCAGAGATGCTAAAATGCTCACTGAAACAGTGAGCCAGACATGCAGAGCTGGTAGGATGGCTCTTTGAGCAGGTAGCCGTGGTGGCAGAGGGAGGGGATGTAACAGGAACATACTGTGCAACAACACTTTTCAGCTAGCGTAACGACTCTTCGGGGGGCTATCACAAGGCAGTACAGTCTAGAGCTGTGGCTGTTCTGCCTCGCACTGAGTCCAACGGCCTCTCAGGGTTTGTTCCAAGGCTGGCAGTGAGCAGGATGGAAAGGTGACATAAAATCATACTGGAGCCAAGAGATACTTCTGTGCACTTATAAATTCAGTCCTTGATCTAACAGCATGTTACTGCCAAAAGGAATGGCTTGGCTGTAGCAGAGACCTTGTGTCTGGCATGTCCATGAGGGCCAAATCCTCAAGCATGGGAGGAGGGCAAAAGGCAGATGTCTCCACTCCTGCCTCATGGCCTGCAGACAGGGTCACCAAATGGGTCCTTTTCTTGGCTGGGTCTAAGAACTGCTTGCCCTCTCTTACATTCATTGTTTTCACTGTTTAGTCAAGGAAATGGCTTGACCACTCTGTTGAGGGAAGTGGTAATAAATAATTGTTTTTCCAGGAAAAAAAGTCTGCTGCTGTTTCTCCCAGAAATGTGGTGTAATCAACCTGGGGTCAGACACGGTATCAGCATAGATGGGCACGAACAAGGGTTTGAGACAGTCTGGTTCCATGCAAGTTTGCATAAGAGAACAGAACTTCTCTTTGGTACCATTCAGCACTCAACAGGATTCGCATTTTGCTTTATTCAATTACAGTGAAATAACTAATCATGAAAATTGCAACCTGTAAGATTATTATCTAACTTTGCAATAGATGTGTGCATTGCCTTACATATATTTTCTGTGAAAACAAACACTAAAGTTAATGTCTGACAATTTGAAATGGACAGAAATAACATTTTTATAAATATTAGGAAAAAAAATCATGAATATATAGCTGTCTTTCCTCTGAAGTTTTAAATAAGTTTCTAAATTAAAAATAATGAAACATATGTTGGTTTTAAAAGTTGCCAATTAATTTTAACAGCATATTCGTAACAGTTAACCTTGGTACTTGCGATGTTCAAGCAGTTACATATAGTGAATGAGAAAGAACTGCAGAATCCTGTAGACAGGTACTTAACATTATCAATTAATTTCAGAAATGACGGTTTAATTTTGTAAAGGGCATCAGAGTATAGTACTTACAGATCTTCTAAAGATGTGTTTTCTGTAAATTTGCAGCATTTTACAAATGTGCATTGTGTGCTTGGGGATTCCTTGTACAGACAACAATACCCTGTGCAGTTGTAACAGCTGGTTTGGAGTTAGCCCATCTGTCCTACGATTATGTATCTGTGCCTTTTATTAGGATGGATTATTAAACAGGTTAATCAAGAAAATATGAGAAGTGAAGGAGAACAGAGGATGAAAGGCTTCTTCAGTGTCACTGCTGTTCATCTCACCAAGGACAGCTCAGAAACACTTCAATATGTGGAATATGGTCAGGCTAACCCATCACAGCTCCACAGAAACACACAACAAGGATTGTGCAAAAATCTTGGTCTCATTATATAATTTCCTTAAAAAAAAAAAAAACCACCAAAACCATAAAATTGCTGTTTTTCTAAAGAAAACAAACAGAAGCACTTTCTTATTCATCAGCTGCCAACTCCCATAGGTTACAGATTGGAGAGTTAAAAATGTGAGTGAACAACAAAGACTAAGGAGGAGAACCATTAGTAATGTGTTAACAACGGATAAAAGGCAAGACCTGGAGCTTCCTTATACTTTGCCATATGTGAACAGGGAGGTGAACACAGCCTGTATCTCAAAGGGTTTACAGAATGAAGAGGAAGGAGAGGCTTGCATACAAATTTCCTATTCATAGGCATATTACTGAACACCTCCCTCTCCCCCCCAAGTTATTTTCAGGCTTGCAATTACACCCCAATTATACCTCAGAGTATACGACTCTACTACAACTTAAACATTTGTTCTAATGTTCCAAATCATTAAGGGTTGACTGACTATTTCATTCTGTCACACAGACGTCAGTCTACAGAAGGGAGCGAAGTATAAGGATGGGAGCCTGATACCATGAACAAAAAAGGAACAGGAGAACCAGCTATATGAAACCTTAGCGTGGGAGTTAGTTACTTTTAAAATTGATACCTGAATCTGACCACTATTGGCTCTGCAAACCAAAAAGCACAGCTGGGGCTGCTGCAATAATCAAAGCCACTCTCAGTCCAAGTAGGAAACAGTGGAGCAAAGGACTCGTATTAAAATGAATATATATCACCCTTTAAACATAGTTAAATTTTGTCCATTTCCACCTACCCACACAAACTAAATGGTGTTTTTCTTCACGGTTTCAGCAGCCAAAATTCACTACATAACCATTTACAGAACGTTTTGCATATAACACCAGCCTTCCGATTTACTGTCCTCCATACTATTCCTGTTGCCATAGACCGGTACTTACTGTAGAGAGAAGACGACTGCAGACACAGACAAGATCACCATGGGCAGCAGGCAATATCCCAAGACACTTGCAACGCAGCCATGGGAGACTCCTGGGATGCTCATCAGGTTCAGTAGGGCATGCATAGCAAGGCACCCGATGGCACTCATGCCGTACACATAGCCAAAATGAACTTTTCCTGTCTGGAATAAATATGAGTAAGCATGAAGTGTCAGAAGTGAGCAAGGGAGCACAGGCTGGTGGGAGAAGACAGAAGGCAAGCACTAGGTTTGTTCCTTTTTTTGCTGTTACTTTCTCTTCGCTTCGCCTACATAGGTTCAATTGTAAATCACAGCTGATACTTTTGGGTGATTTTAGCATCAAAAAAATTCCAAAGTACAATTGCGAGAATGTGCTTGCCACTAATTTAAAGCTATAAGGCTGTGTTACTGTGATTGGGCTCTTGTCAGGAAATGTTTGGGGAGACTTGGGAAGGTCCAGCTGGAAACAAACTGAGAAGAAACTACAGAAAGCACATTTTAGTGTCAGGAAAAATCTTTGCAATAGGTGTACGTGGGGCTGTGGAAAAGTGTCCTAAGCAAAACAATGACTTCTCACTTACTTAACATGCTTCACATTTTATTACAAACCTCCAGCTTTAAGCAGTCCTGCAAAATATTAGTAAACCTTGGCTGAAAGTATTGCTGGTTTTCAGGATAGGAATGTGACCATTCTTCCCTTTGACTACCAAGAGAAAGACACATCTCTGTGGTTAGATAAATACAACATGTTCATTTCAACATAAACCTTAGCAATAACTGTCAGCTTGTGTTCTTTTTTTTTGTTCCAGCGGATGAAAAATTCCCCAGGTGTTTTTTTCTTCAAGGTTTTATTCCTTTGTGTGAATTTAGTGCTTGTGAAAGGTACCAGCCTGACAGCCTGGAGCCTGATGTTTTCTAATTTATACACAAAGCTAGTACAACAGGCAACAGTGGCCATAGCACCACCGATTTCTTCATCTCTCACCATCATTTTGAAGGATCACCTCCAGGCACTAGGGCATTGTTCACTCCCAAACATGAACACTCACAAAAGACTGTTAAATATTTTTTCTCTCTTTTCAAGCTTCCAACAAATAAAATACTGAATGCCAGCTATGCAATACTCTCATTTTCACATCAGTACATCAGAAATAAACAATTGTATATCAGAAATAAACAGCAATTGGGATGAAGATGGTTTCGTTTGTTTTGTGTCCTAAAGAGGACACACATTTGTGAAGAAGAAAGCTCAAACCTGGGACTCAGTCCTTAACTCAGGACCAGGGAATAAACTTCTCAAATGAAGGACCACAATGCATCATTTTCTTAACGCATAACAATACATACACACATTCTTAAAACACAGATGTGTTTGTGCATACACACACATTTATGTATATTGTACACATTATAGATTGCATATGATAAACCACATGAGATTCAAAACTAATAGAGGGTCTCAGTTTCCTAATAATTCTGTAGCTTGTGGTTGGATTCTCTTGTGATGCATAAGGTGGAAAAAAAGGGCAGGGCAGAGAGAGAGGGAGACCCAGCCCTGCCCTGAGCAGGAAGAGTGAGCTGCTGAGGGGCAGCAGCTTCACCAAATACAATGAATGATAGCTATAGATAGTGTGGTAGAGCAATATTAGATCAGATCATTATCAATTACAATTTCAGTCATTAAAGATTCGTAGTAAGCTTAACACCTGCGACGTTTTGGAGCAACCTTTACTACAGGCCAGCTAGGAAAAGCTCTGTCTCAAACAGATGCAACAGCTACAAGCTAATATTAAAACTGTTTTTTTCAGTGTACTTAATTATTCCACACAGCGCTATTTAGCAGCTTAATTTAAGATTAAGAAATTACTGAGACAGAGATGAAAGGACCACTAGGAGTAGCAACTAACTGAAATCTCCACTTGGCAAAATGTTTGATTTGTGGTGAAGAGGAATGAAAGAAAAAAAAAAAAGGAGCTGAACACATTGGTTCCAATTCTAGTCTTTCTTCACAAATGTAAATATATTGCCTCACACATGTGGGAATACTCCCAATTTACAGTGATGTAAGCCAAACCCGAATCAGGCTTGATTAGTCTGGCAGGCTTTGATGAATTGAAAGAGCTAAATTTGTCCTGCAGAAGGAACAAGGTTAGAAGAAAGTCAGACTTGCGCTTGTTTGCATCTGCCTAGAGTGGGTACTGCTACCTTTAGCTTAAGTGGATGGGGAAGTCTGATTTCATACGAGTGTGTAAAATGCAGAGCAGCAGAGACTTGGGCTTCAGCTGACTTTCGCACTGCCGTTGTTCCTCTATCTGCGATGAAGCCGCCCTGCTTTACACCAGTATGGGAGAGATCCAGTCCTGCTGCCAGGCTAACAACTCTTTCCTCTTCTTCTCTGTGCTCTGAAAGAACTCCTACCATTTGAAGAATATCTTTGCATATTTTTCCATAGTTAAAAAGCTGAAACTAAATACAATTTATAAATTATTTTTGGAAACAAGCTCTCAACCAATTTATGTTCCTGGTGCTATTAGAAGAGAATTATTCAAGTACAGAAGGATATAATAACTTACACAGCTGAAGAGAAACTTTAGAATTCAAATGCATCCTGGACAAAATGAGCATGGCCCATGGAAATCCCATGGATTTCTAGCTGTGAAGTTGTGGCACAAAACCACTAGATCATATCTGAGGACTTCTGCTGGTCTAAAACTGGAGCATTGAACATGGTTCTTTTCCTATTGGTACTCAAAACACTTAATATGCTAGAATAAACCTGGTAACTAAAGTACTTTATTTCAATAATAGTAGTTTAATATTCATTATACTTGTTCGCTGCCCAGGGAGCAAAATTAACATCAACTCTGGGTTTTTTTATTCTTTCTTTATTTAAGCTTTACTTCCATTTTCCTGATTATAATAAATTCAACACTTTCTCTTTTTTTCCCCCTCATACCTTTATTTCTCTAGGTGAAAATAGCCTGTCTTCTCTAGCTTTCCACCTTCTTTTCTTTTTATTCCCCTTCCTCCTGCTGCTTCCACCCCTTTAAAGGTATTTTTATTTTTATAGAGACATAAATAATAATAATACTTGCAGTTTGCACATTCAAGGTACTGCACTGACAGTACAAATTGAGTAAGAACTTGCAAGAGTCCTCTGATTCAGCACTATTTATCACAGAGGAAATGGAGAATTAGAGCCCTGTTTCTCTCACCTCAGTTGCCAGAGCTGTAAAGCCCTTCCCAGAATGGTCCCACCTTATCCCTGTCTGATAAATTGCTGCCGACAATCAGTGCTGTACTTCAGCAGCACTGGAGAGCCCCTGTTGTCAGTGATAAATAGATGAATTTGGAGTAGTGTGCAATCCCTGTTCAACATTCCTCCTGTAGGAAAGCCATATTCATAAAGAGGAAAGAGGTTAAACATAGGCTACAATATTTTGTTTAGCAGATGATGCAGAAAAAGAGCATAAACTGTGAAAGCATTGAAAGAATTTATAGGAAGGTATTGCAAATTTGAGGCAGGGGGAAAAAGACTGTTTCCATTTTCTTTTTTGAATTATTTTAGCTAAATATTTTTCTGATATCTCTGCACTCTCCAAAATAATACTGTGAGATGATAATTCCAAAACAGTAGCAAACATATGAGAAGAACTCATAGAAGACCACACAGCTGGTCTACTACGCCTTTTCATTCCCTGCTTTAAAACTACTTTTAGACCTTACATAGCATGCACTGCCACATTTCAGGTGTTCAGAGCCTCCTCACGATATACAATGCACAATGTGTCCTTTGTTCATATTATCCCACCCCAAAAAAGGTGTGGTTTTTTATTTCCGCTGGAGCAATACATCACATCACCTGTATTACATCTACATTACATGTAACCTTTATGCATGTATTTTCTGAGCAAAGGGACATTTTAATATGTAATCTCAGAACAAATGGTGGCAAATGACTCATTTTATACCAGTACTATATCTTCTGCAACTTCACATGCATTATCACCCGAGCATTAACTTGGTAAAAAAAATCCCTAAAGATTTCTACCACAACCTACCAGCAGTAATGTTCCTCCAAGGGCCAAACAGAAAACCACAGGTCCAGTAAGGTCGGTCTCATTCATAATGCTGCCATCTGCGGGCTTCATCGGATTTAGAACGGTTAATGTTTTTTGCCATATATGCTCAAAATTGATCCCAAGTTCTGCAACGAGAAATTCCAGGATTGTTAATTGCTCGCAAGAAAACAACCTTTTTACAGAAACCCATTAGATACCACAAAACCCAAAACAAGCAAACAAATGAATCGCATGAAGATAATAGTGTAGGAGGATGTATTCTGCAGTAGGAACGTGCTGTATACCCAGTATGTTTGAGATTCAGCTCTGATTCTAAATTGGAATATTAATTGATCAAATACAATTTTAGACAGTGAACAAAAAAAATGCCCTCAGCATTTTTGAGTTAATATTTGTTTTTCCTATATTTAAAACACATATATCTAATGCCATGCTAACTTAGACATGCAAAAATATGCAGAATTCAAGATACTCTAGAACACTGAGGACAGAGATATATGCTTTAATCCTGGCAAATCTGACAAGAGATGTGTCTTAAGCCTGAACTGCCAAAAGCACTTAAAAATGACATTCGTCCCTTCAAGGCAAGTTAATAATACTTTGTGTGGTGCTTTATAAGCTTTTTTTTTTCCTTTTCATTTAAAAAGTAATGACTGAGGACCCCTAGAAACAGAACAAAAATTCTTCCCCATTAAAGTTGTTGGGAATTCTGCCATTAACTTTTCTCAGGCAAACATTTCTCTTGTAACTTCTGCAGAAACACTCCAGTTCACAAGAGTCATCATCTTCCCTGAGATGCTCCAGCAAGGTTGGTTCAGAAGTGGGTGCCAGAATTATGGAGACTGACAATGTGTTATAGGTCTGTTTGGAGAACCAAGTCCTTAACCCAAAGCCTTATTCCACTGATCCATCATCTTGAGCTGAGTCAAAATATTATGTAAATAAAGTTAAAATTAATACTGTATTAAAATGTGTGGCTCGGGTCAGATTCATGTGGCACACAGATAGGAACATCTCTGAAGCCCTGAGGATCAGCAGCAGTTGTACTTCAAGATCCTTTTCACAGGGTGGGCTGCCTGTGGAGTTAAATGCTTGGAAGCCTGAGAGATAGAGATGTAGCAGTTATCTATATCAAACAGAGGGAGCTTGCTGTTTTTAAGGCAGGAGTAGTATGTTTTAAGTAGTAAAAACGCTACTTGTCTCCAGTATGCAAAAGCAAGCTGAGTATGCTCTTTTTACATTATGCTGAAATAATCACAAACAAATTCTCCGATTTTCTGAAATGTAACACAAGTATTTTGCAAACTACAAAATCAGCAACCAGCATATAGGCTGGTTTAATCATCATAAAGAATGATATTGTTCTTGTAGTTAAATGATCAACTAATTGAAGCTGAAAGCAGCTTTCTCAATTCCTTTTCCATTGAAACAAGCTATTTAACATCTTCAAACTATTAAATTCATTACTAGGTATGCAAAAAGATTATCAGTATTTATTAATTATAGATGTTCCAATATGTACGTAGGATAAACACAGAGTGGAAATGTGAATGCAAAACTTATAGTTATGCTGTCATCTAGTGGTAGTACTAAAGCATATGCTATATATACCATAAGGCTGAATGAATCCATGGCAAAGTCAAATGAGAAAAGTCAGGTCTGGGGCCAGTGGCTGCTGGCTGAAGCTGGCCCAGATGGGCTTGGCAACTCTGCAGTGGTTGCTAGTGACTGTGCACATTGTCCGTGATTTTATTCTTACCTTCTAGCAAAGGAGGCTCCTCGTCAAAGCCGTCAGCGTAACTAAGGTGAGTGTCAGGACTGTACATCGGCTGCAAAATCTGACCCGTGTAGCTCTGAGAGGAGAGAAGCATTTCCGAAGGGATGAAAGCACTGGCTGGAGGTTGCTCTCCTGTCTGGCTCCTAGGACAAGAAGGAAATCACAGCAAAGCAACTAACTGCAGTGAGCAACGTCACAACAGCTGGAAGCTGCTGGTGCATGGGGCATGGTTTAAATTTTCAACTATTTTCAGTTTAGAGATTTTGGAAATTTTCTGGGTATGGTATCCACCAGGAGTCATGGATGCTGAGCTGCTGACAACACCTTTGCTTCCCTTCGCTGCAGCTCCCTCTGAAACCAGGCAGGGCTCCTTGCTGGCCTGCCAGCACCTTGAGGTCCTTCACACCTGCTTCTGCACCCATCCAGCTCAGGCAATGGCACAGCACAGGCATCCAGCTGGTTGTGAGGGGAAAGGGAGTTTAGAAGCTGTGAGGGCACCCACAAATTTAGGGACTCCTGACTCTTCCTCCAAGCAGCCTGGTGACATTCCTCAGATATGTCCATACTGTTGATAAAGCTGTATGCTTAGATACATTATTTTTTTCCTTGAATCTGAGAAATACCTGAAGCCAGTATGTATGTAACAGCCAGCCACATTCAAAAAAGCTGATAGTAAAAATGAAAAATAAAAAATCAGAGGAAAGCTGGGAAATAGTAAGGATATAACACAGAATAGCCCAGGAACTCCTAGGGAGAGCTAGGGCCAATCTCTCATCCTTCCATCTGCATTTCAGGGCTTTAACTAAACCCATTCTTTATTTCATGAGATTTTCCAGAGGGGTGGCGTAGACTCTGTGGCACATCTCTACCATGGGCAGGAGTGACTGAATACCTTTGTGGGGCACAGGTTTTGTTTTTCCAGGAGGACTGAATGCAGGGCTGGGAGGAACACCCTTGGCTTGAGCTGGTCTCCTGCCATTCACCCCCCTCTGCAAGACTCAGCCAGATCCATCAGCTGCTGAACAGGGAAGCTGCAGCAACAACCAGCCTCCTACCACACAGTCATGCAGAAATCTCTTTAAAGGGAAACTCTCAGAACTTCTTTTCCTCAATGTCCCTCTTCCAGGAGCAGAAATCACCAATAGGTTTAAAAAAAAAAAAAAAAAAAATTTCTTCCTGTCTTTCTGTTGCTATGGCTTGTATTTCTCCCCTAAACCTTGCACTGTACTGATTATGCAATCCCTTTTTTGGCAATTGCATGCTCGTTTGGCATTAATTTCATCTGAGCTTTGAGTTATACCACCTTTTTTCTCTTTTTTTTTTTTTTTAACATACTTACTTTTTGCTTCCACAAAGGTTTTCATTAAACCCATAACTGTTGTAAGCTTCCTGGTCATCTATGGTATAACTGGACTGGTAGGAGTCGTAGTGAAACTGCTCGAAATCTGACATTCTGGTTGGAAAAAAGATTGCAAGTATTGATAAGTTAGCCTTTGCAACAAGCCAATATCTATGCTTTGAACAATCCTAAAGTGAAAGGAAAGCAATAAACCTTAAAGCCAAAAACTCAAGAAAATCTTCCTGCAAGAAACACATGATAATTTGGAAGTGACAAAAAGGGACTCTTCACTTTCCTTTGTTATAACAAGAGAAATTAATCTTCAGTTACCATTAATTACTCTATATTAATTTACAAGTGGTATACAATACTTCCTGTCTCATTCATGTTACGCAAAATAACTTAAATAATTTTGAAAGAAGATATATATCAAATAAACTATTGTTCTAAACTGCTCATTTTCTTACTTAAAAAAAAAAAGTGGCCATCTCTGAATGCTTAGAAATTAATGTTTTTTAAAAATATTTGGGTCTTCAAAGCCAATTACTATTTTCAGCTACCTGTGCTTTGCAATATTATAAATGACCATTAATAAACGTTGGAAAAATATATTCACAGAATTTGTGACTTCAGTTTAAGAAGACTGTAGCTGGCAGATTAGGAGTAGCAGATAAATATTCTCACTGGTTAGCTACATGTCTTTGAGGAGGACAGCATTCTGAATGACTGATGAGGGAGTACAGAAAACACAGCAGGAAAGAAGACACACGTCTGTCATCCCTGATGACCCATAGTGCTTCTCTGTAGGTATGGACCAACTAGATGACAAAAGGAACAACTTGTCTGTTTATTGCCTTCTACACTGTGACTAACCCAGGATGGGGTACCTCCTGGTTTTGTAACAATTTGAATTTTGCCCACACTGGGCCCATTTCACATACCCTGTGTGTAGGCAGGACTTGTTGTCTGGGTTATATATAAGCAACATAAGAAATTAAGCACATTGGTTCTATAAAACATCATGTACCTTTTGGCATTATAAAAAGTCTGAAATTGCAAAGATAAATTCATTAATTCATAGATTTGGTCTAGGTGTTTCTCATGTTATTAGAACGGCTGATGATAAATCCACAAAACAGCTTCAAAATTGCCAGGTTTGCTGTGCTGCTTTGGGTTGGGGAAGAGTTAGTTTTCCTCACAGTAGTTACTATGAGGCTATGTGCTGGATTTGTGCTGAGAAGAATATTGATAACATACTAATGTTTTTAGTTGTTGCTAAACAATGTTTATATCAAGCCACGGACCCAGTTTTTGATACTGTCCCTGTGTTACCAGCTGCTTCTCTACAAGAGGCTGGGAGGGGACACAGCCAGGACAGCTCACCCAAACTGACCAAAGGGATGTCTGGCTTCGTCATCTTTGCTCCCACCCATCAGGTGGTTATATTCATCCATGAGGACCCCCTGAGGCCTCTCTCCTCCCAGCTAAAGTCATTTAGGCAAAGGTCTGAGCGGGATTTGCCTGTAAATGCAGGGATGCACACGCATGTTTCACAACTTGGCCAGCGTTTATGTAGTTCAACTCTTAAAATGATGCATAGTGTCCCAACGAGAAGTTATATAACATGAGTGATAGCCTCAACCATATCCAATTTACTTATACTTTAATGTAAGATATTCATCTCTCCTAACATTTCAAGTTTTCTTCACTTTTGCCCTCTTTTCCAACTTTCTAAATGCTGTTGGCAAAATATGCTTTTCACCTCACGGTTACTCTCACAGTTATCTCTACATTTATCAAGAACACGCTGCTTACAGAAGGATCTTTGTAAATCCTTTTTGCAGGGTAAAAGTTATCAAGATTAATATTTCATCAGGGACCGTGAAATGCTGCATATTAAATCCTCCACATTGTATCCCATAATCAGACTAACCTGTGGGGACTCAATTCCTTCATTTACCTAAAGCACTCAAAGTAGAAGTTACAATTGTATAATACTATTTTCTTAACTGCTGACCAATCATGCAAGATTTCCAAATGTAGAGGAGTAGAAATATTTTTTACATTTTAATTATTAATTCATGCAAATTAATTGTACTAAGCTATTTACTGCGGTTTTACTTGGAATTGCACACCAGTTATGCATTTGTTCAATATAGATTTTACCTGGAATATGTTTCAAAAAACTTTATTTGGTATTTCTAGCCCTACAGTTCAACTCCAGTAAGACTTTAATGTTCTTTGCTGTCACTATAAGAAATGAAATAATTACTTAACCAGGTATGCTATAATCTGGGTAGTAGAAAGATAAACTTATTTTCCAAAAGAATTTGGAGTTAAGGTTACTTACTTTTTAAGATACTTGATAAAAACTCCAGTCTGTTGAATTTACATGCAGTAGAACTCCTAAAATATCCTCTTGCTCCAATGGGGATGAGCTTTGTGCTATTTATAAGATTCTAAATTTGATCTTTGAACAGATGCACATGAAGGAAAAAACCCCACAACCTGTCAGTATCACAGACAGCATTTAACAAGAGCTAGCAACAATAAGCAGAAAAGGATAGGAATCTTCAAGGAAAGCAGAATAAAATTAATAAATAAGGCTTCATATATTGCAACCCTATAATCTAGGTTGCAGTTCAGAGCTTTTTTCTGAAGTAGGTACTTGCAAAGGTCCCGGTGCGGCCCTCATGAGCTGAGCTGTTAGATATTAAGAAGTTTGAACAATATGTAATAATGCCTGTTAAATGAGCAGGGTAAATAGATTTGCTCAGGCGTACGTTGCTAGCAGGTGTTCCCGCAGTACAGACCATGGGACACACGCAGCCTTAGAGCCATTCCGGTGGTGGCAGAGGGAGTTTTGATGGCGTGTCTCTAGGGGAGAACATGATGCACCCTGACGCAATAGCAGAGGGAGGGAAGAAAACGGTACCATGGGGCCAGGTTCCTTAGCTGGTGCAAAGCCAGGGCCCCATCACTTCTCCAGGAGCTCTCATCCATCTGCAAAGCAGTCCCAGGCTGCCGGAGAGTCTCTTGCAGTGCAGCACCCACCACATCAGGATCCAGGCAAGTGCCTACTTCAAAGGCAGCGAACCCTGCTCTGCTCCTCGAGGGCTTTTATTGAATGTGCAGGCAACAGATTCACGATGAAGTTTTTTTATGCAATGCTCAGTGTGATATCCCTATTGTTACCTGACCTGCTACAAAACAGGAACCTCTGTCCTATAGTCCTGGCTACTAAAAAACTTGCAGCACAGTATAGATTTTGAAATAGTGTTTAAACTTCAAAGAGAGCTTTTCTATTTACACGTGCTTTAGGAACGTGGCCAGCCATAACAGGTGCTGCCTTTTTCACTCATTTATTAGATAGTTTCCCAATGAGCTCTTGGGCTGGGTAATTTCAGGAATGGGACATTAAATGGGATGCATTATCAGACCATTAATCTATGCTTCAGGTGCATATTAAATTCTGTGAGGTTGAAGGCCAAACGACTTCCATTTCATTAGGAGAATAATCACGCCCTCTGAGTACATGACCTACAATGCTATGAAAGGATTATAATATAGGTGTTTTTTTAAATAAGAAAAAATTAAGTATACCAAGTTTTCACTCAGTATATCTGTCCAAAAAGGAGCCCACAACTGAAGGATGGTGAGAAGTAGTAAAATATAACATCTGTTTCTGCTAATTAAAGGAAATCTAAGTATGCTATTTATTACAGTTATTGTTAATCTTTCTTCATGCTGTTAAATTTCTCTCCTGCCATTTCCAGGATAACAATTCACATTGCTGTATCCACCAACATAAACTTTCAGTTCTTAGCAAACTAATCCCCGTAATGTCTAATCATCTCAGTTTAGATACTATAGTTTGATCTTGTTTATACCAAATCAGTAAGGGGAATGATATAGGATTAATTTCTATCTTTCAATAAGGTAATTAAAAACACCCCAAAATCACGCATAGAAAAATCCTAATTTAGTAATGATGCGTTAATTTTGTTACAAAATTGACTTGGTTACTTTTTCTCTTTTCAATTAGAATAGTTGTACACATGCATATAGATACAGCATACAAATATATATATGCACACTGGCTGCCAGATAAAAACTGGGAATAATTATCAGACAAGGCACTTCAGAGAAGGAATTTAAACAGAAAAATTGCAATGACTAGTAGTGGGGAATGGTTGAAGAATATTTTAATAGATGTTTAGCATATCACAGAAAAGAAAGCCACCTGAAAATTTAAAAATAAAAGAAGAATGAAATAAAAATTATAACAGGCATATTTATCTCCATATATAAAATTAAAATGCAATATCCTTTATTATACATATTATACATGAATTATACATGTGTATTACGTTAACATGCCTGTGTATATAGGCATATAATTGGACATCTAAAATACAAAATTAGAAAATAAAATTAGTTAGAAATTCTGATGCAGACAATTTTTTTATGAAATAAAAAGAAGATAAGATTAAGTAGTTGATAGAAAAGTGACAGATAGAAACGTGATCTGTCCAAGTATATTAGAAGCAGACAAAATCATATCAGTATTGACATTCTCCTAGCAGATGAAAAAGACGTCAAAAAACCAAGAAGAAAGCAACATTGAATTGAAAATTCTCAAATCAACATTTTAAAATTCTGCATCTACAAGTTTCAGAAGAACTGGTCAAAACTCTTCTACACTGTTGAGCTGTGAAACAACAGGGAAGTCCAAGATCAAAACTATGTAAATACACCATTTCGTAAAAGGCTAAATGAGATGCCCTGAGTAATTATTGGCCTGTCACTGTGAGATTAATCCTAGCAAATTATGGGTTCAAATAATAAATAACTGAATCAATGAAACCAATCAACATGGGCTTTTGGAAACTAGCTCATTTCAAACTAATTTATTTTCTAACAAGATTTGTAGTTGGGAAAGGTAACCACTGATGACCTATATTTATACAAGGCATTTTACTTGATTTTGCTGCAATAAATATAGAACCATCACTGCTTAATGGGACAACCATTATACTGATTAAATAAAGACTATCATCTGATGTGTCTCGAATCTAATTGTAAAATAGGAGAGGATTTCTAATGGTGTCTTATGGGACAGAAGCCTTATAAACCTTGTCTAGCAGATACTTTGAGGCAAAATCTACCAACCAGAGACAGTGACAGGGTGATTTGACCAGAATCTGTTAGGACAAACCAGACAGCAAATAATTAAAAGATCTTTGAAGTCCTTGGTCAACAGTAATATAAAACTTAGAGCAGAGGAACTTGAAAATCTCACAGTTACAGCAGCAGCTGACCACAAGAGCAGTTCCCAATGCTGTTAGAAAGTTCCTTGTAATAGGACATCCGATGATCAGATGAGATACTGTATTTTAGTTTAGGTGGGCACTTAATTCGGTAATGCTCCATGACCTTTGTTTATCTGGGACTACAAACTAGACAGCACAGGTCCTTTCTTGTCTTGAAGTCTACAAATAAGAAATTAATTTACTCAGGGGAAGGGCTGAAGACTAAACAAACCATTCAGAGGTGAAAAAAATTGTAAGGCTGAAAAGCATCAGAGAGGGGCTAGGAAAAACGGATGTGTCCGTGATCACCATAGCTATAGCACATACTAAATGTTGAAGTTTGGTGTGGAAGGAGCACACAGCCGATATTTACTGGTACAAGTCAGTAGACTGAGCGAAGAGAGCTGAGCATCTCTTCAGGCAGCTGATGTTCAGAGCACCATCGATACACTGCGTTAGAGGAGGCTGTCATGAACGTGTTAACATAAGGAAAAAAGGAATTGTGGCACTTCAAGGCTTTAGAACAGAATGTAATCTCACATTCTTCGTTTGACAGGTACATAGAATGTTAATAATCTAGGGGAAAAATAATTTGAAAGAGGTCTAATCATCAAAAATGAAAATGAGAATGGAAGCTGATGAGTAAAAAAAAGATGAACAGAATTGATGAAAAATGTGAGAATTTCTACAAGAAATTAAGAACCTTTCTTCTTAACTAAACTGCTAGGGTTCCTTTTGCCTACTTTTTCCCATCTTTCCTGAAAAGGAAAATAGACAAAGCAGGGGAAAAAAAAAAAAAAAAAAAAATCATCAGTTTTCATAAGCCTACCTTTTTGGCTTTTTTGACAAAATGTAGTCATTAAAATATATTCAAAATTTGTAATAAACCTTTTAAACCGATAGCACAAAATTAAATGGGATAAGAAAAGACTATAGAATTCTGGCTATAGAGTCAGCTATATAAAACTATATTTATTACTCACAGTTAAGTGATGAGTACGCTGAATCCATTATAGTAATTGGTCAATTATTCTATAGTTTCTTTCAAATGTAAAAATTAATGACATTAAGGATTAATTCAGTAAGCCTTAAGCTTAATTACTTACATTTACAGGCCCCATTAATCATTTTATAAGTGAGACATTATTAAAATATGTTACTAGAGGAAAATGTAATTGCAAAGAAATATACCATTTACTACTTCTATGAAATAATTTTTTACCAAATTAATTATTTACATTATATAAAGTGTCTACTAAATTAATTTTATGCATAGAAGCCTTAGACACATCTACTGTAACACTCCAATTCTTTCCTATGACATTTCCTATGACAATTCTTTCCATCCAGAGAGTGGATGAGAGGACAAAGGAAAAGTGAAATCCAAACTTATTAGCATTTTCTTTTTTATGCTGAACAAATGTGTCAGTCTTGAACAAAAAACGAAGAAGTTATGTGTTCCTGCAAGAATGGGTTTACTTATCAATACCCACTAGCAGTCAAGAACACAATTCTGGTATTAGGAATTACTAGGAAAGAAAAAGACAATAAAACAGAGAACATCATTATACCACTGTATAAACATGTGATTCATTGACAACTTGAATATTGTGATCAGTTCTAGCTCCCCTGCTGGAGGAAGCATTGAGCAGAATGGTCACGTGCTGAAAGGAGTGCAGAGGAGGTGTGTATGGAAAGGGTTCCACGTCAGAACAACCAGGTCAGTGAGGCGTCCCCAGGCCAGCAGAGAAACAATTGGTGGGTAAGGATAAACAGTGTACTCTTTCTTCCGAAAGAAGAAGAAAACTCACAGAGTGTTGGTATTAGGTTCAAAGCAAAGAGACAAAAGGTTCATGGGTGACAGACCTGTGGAACTCCCCGACAATTAGGAAGATATTATGCCTAATATTTATATGGGTCTCAAACAAGACCACAAAAAAGAAATCCACCAAGAATTACTAAGTGCATAGGAACAGTATGCAGTTTAAGAAGTCCATAAACTATTAATAGTAGAAGACTAGGGAAAATATTTGTGAAAGCATTCATATTCTTCCCCATGCATTTAATCCC